TTGGGTGCTGTGCAGGTGAAAGCCTCAACTCACCACCTACACACTGAACACACTGATCCTGCCCTGTTGTGAGCTCTCCTGAAACCAGCAGACATTCAAGTATGTTCAAGCTCACCTGCTCTAGCTATTAGCATCTTAAGAAACCTCTGTCACAGAAAGATCACTGAGGTGACAGACATGCAGAAACTCAAGGAAAGAAGAAACTAGAACTCTGTTGCTTGAATCTAGAGCTGGAAAGATTTATTTTTCTCAAATGGCCTTTGAATGTCCATGCTTCAGAGGCCTTGACAGCTGCATCAGTTCAAAGGGCACAGAGAGCACCACCTCCTCTCTTTATACTGCATGGGCGAATCGAAAGATTTATGGTGGATCTACTCCAAAGATGTACGCTTTCTGTTTGGGTTGTTCCTCCACCACCCACATTGTCCTAGCAATGATTCATGATGTCCATGTGGCCACCATAAGAGTTTGGCAGGGGAAAGCACAGTCCATTTGCACTTTTCTCCCAGAGAAACATGAAACTCCTCTATCACTCACAGCAGAGCAGCAGTTACCAGTACACAAATGGGAGTAAACACAATGCAACCAACAACATCTGACTTGCAAATTATCACATGGCAATTAAAACAAATAAACAAGGGAATTCCAAACCTTTTCTTTTTTTAACTGCATTGTAAGATCTGGGCCCCAACCAAACACTAACACCCTTGACCTTTAGCATATTCCAACTCCTTGATAGCCATAAGACTGCTTTTCAAGCTCTCTCTTCCAGATCAAAATTAAAAGAATACATGCACTTCAAAAAGTTCAACCTGTACAGTCCGATCTAGTTGCTTCCCCTGACCCATTTTTATTTAGCTGGGCTCAGTTTGTGTCTCCGAGTTCAGATTTTTAAACTCCTTCAGCCAAACTCTGCTTTTGTATGGACTGACTCTACTGAATTCATGAGTTCCTCTGGCTTACAGCAGCTACAGGATACAATCTTTCATCAGGAAGAGATAACCTTAAAAAGAACTCAAAACTATAATGCTTGCATGTTGGTAAACCTTATCATTAAGAAAATGAATGCTATTTGTGCATCAGCAGTCCAAACACAAACACTTTATCCACTCGCTCGCAGACAGTGCACTGAGCTCTAGCCCCTTCAGTTCACTTCCTGCTGCCATTTCCTGTTGCAAGCCTAAAATGAGAGACTTTTACAGACTTCTCACTGGCAAGCCCATGGCAACAGTTTGTACTTCACGTAACACAAGGCAGTTATTTTTATAATGACATCCCAGCATAATTTGGGGAATATTCTTTATTTTCCAGGTATTTCCAAGGAAAAATCTACATATCTGTCATGCTGTGTAACAGAGAAATATAACCTGTTCATTATTGTTCTTAGAAGCATGTTGTGTTTTGGTTAAAAATATGAATAGTTCTATGCTTCTCTGTGCTGATAGTACTGAGTGAAGAATTCTCTACAAGATCCAGAGGAAACTGAAATAGGTTTTGATTACCCGTCTGAGGAATAAAACCTAATTTACAACTGTGAGCCCCAACAGCAAGTTTCCTCAGTTTTGTAAGGCACGCCAGCTGCCACATTCTCAGCACCTCCTTCAATGCAGACACTGATCCAGACCCCACATTCAAGGTGCACACAGATTTTGGAGTCTATGAAACAATTACCAGGGGAATATCTCACTGCACAAAGATACCTGCATGAAGGTTTTTAGGGAAAAAGGAGTCTTGCTACTCTCATCTTAAACATTGGACAAACAAGACAAGTCAAGGAGCTCTATGCACAGCACCCCGAAAGCTATTAGATGGTTATCTACACTACTGCTCTCACTGTTGTCGTTACTAGTAGAGCTAAAACTGGTGGCGAAAGTGGGAAATCGAATACCTCTTGCTAGCACAGACAAGGCTTGCGAGCTGTTAAAATGAAACTCAAAGAAAACCATGTTTCCCCTGCGAGCTTGGTGTATCTTCCTGCCTTCACAAAGGTGCGATTCTTTCACATGCTTCTCAGGGCAGTTGCACTCTGGAAGAGGGCGCAACAATGACAGGGTCACGCCAGTGATGCTCTATGCACCCACTGGGATGTTTATTGTGGCTTACTTTGCTTCTGAGCAGCTTACCAGCGCTTTTTGCAAGGTGCTGTGCAGATCAGATCTGCAGCGAGTGAGCTCCCCGAGGCAAGCGCAGGATCCACCTCCTCCTTGCACACAGTGACATTTCTAATTGATAAATCAGGCTGCAGAACTGGCCTTTTTTGTTCTGTGTTCGTGCAGCCTAATGCAATGACGACTAAGCATGAACACGGTAATGATAACTAGAATTGTCTACAGTTCGTAAAGTGGGCAGCTGAAAGTCACAGGTGCTATGTAAGATCCTAATTTTCAGGCAGGTTTGGACACTCATTAACCTCTGACAACCCAAGCACAAAGGGTTAATTCTCAATCTGCTGCAGTCAGCTAGAGTCAGATCAGCTCCTGCATGATTTGCATATCCAGCTCAGCTCCTTAACCTTCCTTATCTTATGATACACCTATTAAAGAAAGCAATCTTCACATAAAAGCACTTCAGGGCACATCTGTAAGAGGTATCGCTGTATGATAAAATAATGCGTGGACACAGAGAATTAGCTCACCTTCAGCAAGGACCAGAGTCCCCCAGATAACCGACTGCAAACAGACTCCTGACACAGACCAAAGATTTGAGTCCGGGCCTCTCATCCTCTAAACTCCCCCTCTGCCAATCATTTATTCAAAGTCAGCAGACTGAGACTGCCTGCAGAGGCTGAGGGGCAGGGGGGGCGGTGGTGGAGGGGGCGGGCAGGATATGGAACACCAGCATGCAAATCCCTGCTCCAGACTGGGCACTGCCGCTGGGAAAAGTCATGTCTCTCGGCTACCAGGAGGTAAAAAAAGAAGGAAAAAAAAAAAAGTGGTTTCCCCAGCAGTGAAGAAAAGCTTTAGATTTAGTGTGGAAAATGTTGTTGTTCTTTTTACTTTCTAACATCTGTTCCAGCCAGAGCCTTCTCTGCTGCTAGATGGAAATAGGGGCAGGGCATTTTGGATGTTTCCTCGAAATGGCATTAAGAGCTACCTCCTTTTAGTGTATCATCTCTGTTAGTTACTGCAAAACATTCTTGGGACAGGTACCATCGCAGGCTGCCAAGCATGTTCCCATGCACCTTCACGATTCGCTGACATCGATGGAACCGTCGCAGCACAGTGGGAAGGAATTAATACAAGGGCTTAAAAGGAAATATAGGGTGCCAAGAAAATTGCTCTGACTGCACAGGCTCATCTGAACCTTCACAGGTCAGAGGCCCAGAGCCTTTCATTCTTGCTGTAAAACAGAAGGGCTTGCTGGTGGTGTGGGAAGAAACAGGGACCCACAGCACGCTTTTTTTTCCCCCATGGCACCAGCTGATGCCCACAGCCATTAATTTTTGGCTCAAGTCTTACTTTTTGCCAAAGGCATTACCCCATAAATCATGCACGTGCTGTTCACTTGGGCAAAGCAATATCTTAAATCCCTTCAAGTCACTGGATATATCGCTTAAGCTGCCTCTACCTTAGTTACCAACAGAAAACTTTCTTAACAGCACAAAGGGTACACAAAGTTTACATAAAATAGGCTGATGCTTTTTTATACTGCAGAATCCTTTGTCTCACTGAAATCAACAGGAGTAAAGGATGGCTGAGTCCAGCCCTTCATATTTGAAAAAAAAATTTTTGATCCCTGGACATCGTAATTATCCTTGCAGAACGCAGTATTTAGAATACAAAAATCAAGCCTAAGGAAGGGTAAGTTAAACAAGTCCAGACCATTTACAGAGAAACAAATGTCCCTTTGCAAAAGCCTTAGAAAATCCAGTAAGATACACATACTGTTTAGTGAGGTGAGATGCAATGCCTGCATGCGTATGATATTAGAAAAGAAAGGATTCAGCTCTGAAAAAACAGGTAACTAGCTACACCAAAATGCATGTATTTGCGTTTCCTCCTGTAAACAAGAGAACCTGGATTTCTGCTGCTCACCTTAACCATTAGATCGTGCTAAGCGTATTTTCTGGGGTCAGATATTCTTTGAGTTAGAAATCAAGTGATGTTTATTATAGCATGCCTTTATGAAAACACAATTGAGAGAGCTCAGGAAAGGCAGTAATGGTGATGCTAGGCAACTAAGTAACTACCAGTAACCGTTCTTTATTCCTATTATTTATTTATATTTACCCAACACCAGTCAGGGCTTGAGACCATCTTGTACTGGCTGCGTGCAAGTCAAGCAAATAAGCAGACAAGATGGAAAGAGAAGAGAGACAATCTACAATCTGCCACGCACTCCCCTCCTCACAGTTGCTCAAGAGCTAACAAGATTACCTGAAAACTTTGGCAAAACATGTTTTAAAAGAAGTAGCTCTACTGGAAAAAAAAGTAGCATTGGTCTATAACATGGGCCTTTTCTCTTTTAATTGAATTGTATTTGTTTCGCTACAGTCTGAGCCTATATAAAAATATCTGAAAAAACATGAAAGATGAAGTGATGTATTCTTGTATCTCAGTATGTGTATAAAAATAATTTTACTTTGATACAAAAATACACACTAGGTACATTTTCCCCCCCAGACTTCTAAACACAATCTTTGCCTGTAGTTCACAGCAATAATAAAATGTTTATTTCGATAGCAGCGTTCACTAAACATGAGACTGAACAAGCATAGAGGAACACATAATGGTC